AATAAATTTAACTACACATATAAAATAATAATAATTAAATTATATAAATATTTAAATTTCAAATATTCAATATATATCATCGCAATCCGATTTATTTTAAAGTTTAACAAATAGATTGTTCAGATATTATATTCTTGTTGTTTGGAATATATTAATTGGATATTTTGTTTTTTGAAATGTTTTAAATAACAAATAGATAAATTTTTTTTTCAAATCAATTCAACAATTATTATTATATCATGTGAGTTATTAATTATAATCTTATTAAACTTTATTAGAATAATTTAATACTTAATTTAAACTTAATTTATAATAAATTAAACCCAAAACTGAAAAACGCCAAGAAAATGGGTTATCATTGGTCTTCCACACTTCTTCTATTAATATTCTTTTTTTCTTCCATTCAACCTTCACTGACATTTGAAGACGAGAAGACCTACACTTTAGCTTTAACAATGTGTGTTGCTCCGAAGAAATATGACATGGTTTCCTTTACTATTGATTATCTATTAAACGCGTATTCCTTTGACCATTCGAACATCAATATAACATTTTTCATCACACGTGGCTGTGTCGATTGTGACTTTGAAGGGTATCACAAGGTTGTTGATGCACTAACATTACGAGGTATAACGGTATATGAAGTGACTCTTCTTCCCATTTCCTTTCGAAATGATAAGACGTTTCGCGAAGCTGCCGACAAATTTGAGAGTTGGGTGGTCGACTTTAAAAAGGAAGACGCGAACAACAGACCGTTTCATCGATGGAAACATTTTACTAAAGATAACGTCATCAATTATTATTCACTCAATTTGGCGCTCTACGCCAAAAACACTATTAACCCGGACTTCATCATGTTTCTCGAGGACGACACGTCGTTCGACAGAAAGTTCTTTCAACTGCTTTATTCGCTCTTTTCGAAGTATCACGACGGCGAAAACGTGTTAATTCGGACAATCATCGATCGATTCAATTTGTTCAGTCGAGTCATCCCACCGGGAGGAACAGAGTGTCTCCCCGGATTCTTTGGAATACTTCTTGGTAGAAAAGAGGCAAAAAGGTTCTTTAAAATGTACAAGTATGATAAGTATGCAGTCTGCGGTGACGCTTTTAACTGTTACATGTCGGAGTTTTTGAAATTGCCAACACCTGTGTATCATTGGGGAAAACACTTGTCTAAGGATGTCAACTGGGACGTCTACTGGAACATTAAAGATATGTTATATTGGGAGGGGTTATGCAATAACTGAATGGCTGTGTTTTTTAATTAATATGTAAATTGTTTATATTTGTTACACTTAAAAACATTTGTTTCATATTCAAGGGTTCTATAACAACAAAATATTAATTATCAGGGATAAAAAACTGCTTCCTTTTTTTAAATCTCTTTATTTTTATTTTAATATCATTAAATAGATTCAAATGTTATTAATTTAATAAATAGCATGCTATTTTTAACTTTGAAAACAGAAGACACCTTAAAAATAATTACTGTTTAATGTGGTAATATGTATTTTTTTTATTATTTTATAATTTATAATTAGTAAAGCGATAAAAAAGGTTTTAAAGAATGCATATTATTTGTCCACTTTGTAATAGTTCTTTCCGTTTTGTAATTCTAAAACTTGTTTAATATCTTAAACAAATGCATATACATTGATGTGTTATTATGTTTTTATATCAAATAAATTAAAGCAGATTGTTTTAAAGAACAAAATTAGTAAATTACTTGTAAAATGAACTTTTTTCAAGTTTAGAGCAAGGAGTAGTTATTTTCTTGGTTGCTTGCAATCTTTCGATGAGTTCTTTTAAATCTGTTCTTGACAAAATTCTGTCTTTGACACCGATTGAATATTCAACTTCTTTTCCTTTCATAGTGCACGTTATTCTTGAGTTAACCGTTTTTCCTTTTTCACGTTTAGTCAGTGTGCATGGCGAATTTCTTTCAGTCTTACTTTCTCGAATTAAAAAAGTTCCATCTATCTCACTTTCAATTTGTGATGTTGCTTGGTCTTTTGTGTAATTTGGGAAAAACCAGTCTGCGCCAACGACACTCTCCATCTTTTTCATTAATGGTTTAGACTTGAAAAAGTGTCCAAACGCATCCAAAAGATATTCAAACCTTTTCAAGTCAACTTCATTAAATAATTTGAGGTACTGTGTAATACAGTCTTCTTGTGTTGCATTTATCACATCACTCTTTTTTAGTGCAGCTACAAACTCATTGACTGAGACACTTTGAGTTATTTGTTTCTTCTCAAAATTTTTCTTCCACCAGACTGCTGCACTATCGTCTTCAAATTCGGCACTTCTTTTTATGTCAATAATTGTGTCAAGTAACGTAGTTATATTTACTCGCTTCTTCTCTTCGGTGACCCAACACTTTTTCATTGCATTTTCAATTTCAATGTTCGCACTTTCAAAGACGTAATCGAACTCGACCTTTTTCGATTCAATTTCTTTGCTTTTCATATCATTCCCACAGTTGTTTTCTAAATAATTAAACAATAAAAATGGACGGAGTCCCTCTTTTAAGTGTGAGGAGAGTTCTTGTGGCGAATTGATGTCTCTCCACTCATTAAATGGAGAGAGTTCATAAATAACTTCCCAGAGAGTCATACCAAGACTGTAAATGTCTGATGCTTTTACTGTGTTTTTAGTGCCATCCAAAACTTCTGGAGGACAATAAAAGGTCGATTCATTAACTTTTTTACGTAGAGTGGAATCCTCTTCATCTGTTGAATAATTAAAATCAGACAATTTGATTTCAAATTTTTCGTTGAGAAGGAAATTGGACGGTTTGATGTTGCCGTGGACTAACTTGAGAATTTCATGAAACCACTGAACACCCAAACAACATTGTATAAACAAATCCAATTTAAAAGAAAACGTCAATGGTTTCGAGGTGTACAATGCACTCATGTTTTTACTGTGGTGAAGAGTTTGTAAAGGTCACAGGGTATAAAATCCATTACTAAAAAAGGCTTGTTGTCTCTCACTGTTGTCCCAAGAAAAGAAACAATGTTTTTGTGATGAGAACGCTTCATCACTTCCATTTCGTTAAGATAAGAGTCAAAAAAATCGGTCACAAGAGGAAAGTTTGGAACCTTAATTGCTACATTGACACCGTTTAAACAAGCTTTATAAACATCACCAAATAACCCATGACCAATGGGTTTGGTGTCAGTGTATACTAAATCTGATTGATCAAATGTGATAACACCGGTTTGTATGGACATGTTTATCTTATTCAAGTTTAATTTGTTTATATAAATTTAAAATATAAAGTGTAGTTGATTTATAATTGGAGTTTCAAATGAAATTTTTAATAAATTTCTGTTAATGTATTTTTACTGTTTTAAAAATAAATAATTACACTGTTGAAAAAATAAAATAATAAAATATTGAAATACGTTCATTAGTAAGATTGGCCTTAAACTTTGTATTTTTATTTTTTTCAAACTAAAAAAATAAACACTCAGAGGTTTGCAAAATAACAATCCTAATTACCCACATAACCATTTTATAATTAAAATGATCATTTTATATTATAAATTCATACGTTATAACACCACATTTTCAGTTATAATTGTTTTGAAAACGTTTGAACCGTTATTTGATTTTTAATTTTTATGTATTTGAACCATGAAAATCAATATAACAGTTAAAAGTAATAATTAAACAACATTTATTCACTGTTTTTAATAAACAATTCTTTAATAATTAATAGGACTATTAAAAACTAGCTTAAAATAACTTTAATCAAGTTTAAGGTATTTGTTGTTTTGAGTAACAAAGATAGTAAATTAGATAATATTTTATTCGAAAATTGTCTATATTAACCGAATCAAACTAAACACTACATTATATTATGCTGAAATCCACCTACTATTAAAAATACCTATTTCATACCCAATTGCAAAACAATCATATCATTTAAACATTGATTATTTAATATATGGATTATAAGTAATAAAGTGCTTTATAATATGTTATAAATTAATAACAAAAAAATCAAATCTAATAATAAAAAATATCATATACAAATGTAAAACATACATACATCAATAAAAACAATAAAAATACAAATTATTACTAAAATCCTTCACAACCAAACAAATCAATAATCAAATTCATTTAAATTATCCCTCTTGTTGTCTAATTTTAGCGTCATTCACTCTAAATTGGATGATATATTTAGGTAAAATCGCTTTGGGATTAAACATAACAATTTCGTTACCTTTCGGTGAAAAATGGGAGTCATAACCCTTCTCGAGTTTTTTCCCGTCCATCCTCTTTTTACATTTGAATGATTTTCCGGGAAGTACTTGACACAATAACATCTGATTTGATTTTCTTTGTTCTGAATAAAACAGTGCGTAGTCGCTATAAAAAGTCAAGTAAATTCCACTCCCAAAGAACCCTGAGTCAAGCTGTGCTGTTTTGTTGTTGTTTTTTGGCATCAAAAATCCGCTTTTTGAGATACTTTGAATGGCGTCTTGACTACTCCCATGGAACGCCCACTCTTCTTCTCCAAACCCTTTTGCATTAAATTCAGTCTTTGTCGCATTGAACTGCATTTTAAGTGCTTTGTTCACTACAATGCCAATCTTGTCAACTACGTAATTTCCTTGCGCGCACGACATCGTCTGGAAGAACTTTGTGTGGACTTTAGCAAAGACAGAGTCGCCCTCTTGACCAAACTCAGTGGACCCATTTTGGATCCAAATAACACCAATTTCATTGTTCGATAACATCTCAACTTCTTTCATCACGTCGTAGTCTTTGACGGTCCGAATACCATCAAAATAGTCGTCCTCTGTCCACCCTATCTGAGCTAATAGGCCAGCGTGTTGGTCTACACTCACACCCATCTGTTTTTGATACTTTCGAACAAGTCGCTTCTCCTCGGGTCCGATTTTATTGGTCTCTAGAGCACTCACTAAGAGCGTTTTGTACGCATCAACCTTTGTTATCTTCTCTTCTTGCGTGTCACTGTCCTTCGCCATGACATCCTTCAAATTTGCTATCGAGTCTTTTAAAGTGTTAAACTCGACCTCCCCCTCACCGTCATGGAAATACCGTTTTCGATGAAGAGGATTTGTCAGTTTGCAATTTTTACCAAAACAACAAACAGGCTTGTCGTCCGGATTTTTTTTCGGTTGAGGTTTTTTAATTGGAGAGGCCGGAGGAGTCGATTTTTGTGGAGGAACAACAACAGCTCCACTGGAATCTAAAACGGCTTTGTCTAAAATGTCTACAGGCTGCGAACGACGCTTTGGAGGCATTTCGTGTTTTTTAAGTTTCGTGTTAAAATTTTATTAAAGTTTTTTTTAATGTTTTGATTTAAATCGATTAATAGTATAATTAATAACAAATGTATTAAATATAGTTTAATTATAAATAATTTATTTTCTATTTTTTAATATTTTGAGTTATTACCATTTTTTCAAAGACTAAAAAAAACAAAATAAAATAAATTCAATTTATTAAACTTATTTGGCATAATTATATATGGGTTGGATGACATTTTAAATATTACAAGGTATTTAATCTCAAAACCAAGCTAATAAATTTTTATTGTTTAAAAACTTTTTTTAATTTTGGATAAAAAACATGTGGAGATCTAGCACAATACATATATTTTATTCAATCTAATTATAAACAGAAAGGTGTCAATTTGTTGAGTTTCAACTAAATTTTATTTTTTTCCGTTTAGTGTTTTATTCAAAGGCATTTAAGAGTTGGTTTTATTGTTTAACTAACGATTAAATTATCATGTTTTATTGGAAATAACACAAACAACTCCAGTCAATAATATAAATTAGTTGTCACATTTCACAAATCATTATCATGTTTTGTGTTACAATAATGGTTATAACAAGAAAAGGCGCATTTAAAGCAATGATAAATCATCATATTTAATGATCTATTGATACATCAGCGTAAAATCAATGAGTTATAATTGTGTATTATTTTTGTAATTAAGAATATGATTATTCACATAACCGTTGTGTCAACAGTGTTATAAAAAATAAACATTTAAACAAAATAATTAGTGTAAACATAAAACTTTATTAACTAATAACAACACCCATTTTTAAATTTGGTTAATAAGAAAAACAAATCCATATTGTTTTTAAAACAAAATTTATATTTGAATAATTATAATTCAATATCCAGATTTGTTGAAATGTGAAATGGTTTGACAAATTGAAAAAAAAATAATTATAGTTGGGAAAACAATTATTTGCCAAGCAAATAAACCTTAGCTTAACATACCAATTCCATATTTAAAATATTACAAATATTAATTAATTGTATTGAACAAAAATATTAATAAAAAGTTTTTATATAGTTTGTTTTATCATTAATGATGATTATATTTGTAATTGCTTATCTCCGCTATAAAAATTATTATTTTTGAAAAATTTTTAAAAAAATTAATATAATAAATAAATGGTTTTATAACAATTGTTAACTTAAAATGAAAAAGTAATAGAACCATAAATTGATTCCAAATTATTAAGTTTCTATTTTTAGATTTTGTTTTGCTTTTCATAATTATCTAAATGCATAAAACAAATTAATTATATACAACTAATCTTGTAAACAGGTTTTTAAATAATGTAGATTTCAAAGATAAAAATGTTGTGCACTATAATCAAACTAACTTTATACACACCCCAAACATAAAAATACGAAATATGAGGAGATTCTACAACAGAAAACAGTAAAAAAATGGAATGCAAAAATGATAAAAATAAATATAATAATATTTAAATTATTGATTTATAAATAAAAAATATAAATTAAAACAATGAGTCAATCCAAGTGAGATTTCAGTCTTTTTGATCATTTCATTTCATCAATTTGTTGTGATTTTTGTATATAAAGGTTGATCGACTTACGTAGTCAAACGTTGGTTCTATGACTTGTATTCTCCTTATACTTTTGGTGCCACTTTCTTCGAGTTTTTTGTGTTCCAAAGGCTGTTCTTCATGTATTGCAGACTACAATTGTAACACAACATGTTCAGATACATTTGATGATGACCACACTTGTAACTCGTGTAAATGGAGTTCACCAAGTGCATTAAACCCTGAAGCATATCTCATGAATTCAGAAGGGCAGTGTCTTAAGTCAAATTCAATATTAAGTAAAAACAGGTGGATGCCCGATGATCAGTACAAAGAAGAGATCTTCCCAGGTATTCCCATTCCCATAATATTAGACTCAAATACACCACTTGATTACAGTTTTTGTAGATATCCAATGAAATACCGAGTTGGTAAATGGTTTAAGCTTAATATGACTCCTATCAAAAACAATTACATGTACGCCATTGTTGATAAAATAGTGATGATGTTGCTATGTCAATGGATATTACTAAGTCTAAAAGAGATGCAAAGAGCGGGAACTGTATGGCTCATACTTCTTCACCAGTGTCATCACGTAATGTTATTATAAAGGGAAACTTTTTTCATTATGATTATGTCAATGATGGTACACAAGAAATCGTTTTCACATTTTTCATATCAACAGACACAGTGAAAACAATCAACGCAACTTTAACAGTGACATTTTCAGTGTTTCAATTAAAAGATAACACAACAATAATTTCACAAAAAGAAACAGATGAAATGGCAAAGAATTTGTCGATTGTGAGAAAAGTGAAATACTCGTTTGACACTATTGGAATATATTACTATCCAACTTGTATGCCAACTTTTCTTTCAAAAATTGTGATTTTCACAATTACTTTTGATGCTAATTATTCACTTCTTCTCTCCACTAAAAGACCAAACAAATTGAATTACTTCCTTTCAAATAAAATTATATTCACAAATAATACTTTAACAGCAGTGTGTGTCTCAATGTGGAGTGGTTCTAAAGTGTCGACGCTTGAATTAGAACAAGAAGGAATATTAGTGAAAGTTAAAGGAGCCAAAAATGAACAGACTTTTTCATTATTTACACAAGATTATTACTCAGATGTTTTATTTACATATCAAGTCATTTGCCCGAATCACTGTCATGCAGAGAGCGGACAAGGAGAGTGTGTAACAAGTAAAGCGAAGTGTGTTTGCAAGAGTGGATATGGTGGGTTTGTTGTTAAATAATGATATCTATTGTTATGGTATAGTATAGTATTATAATAATAGAATAATAGAATTATACTTACATTAAGAGATGATTGTCATTTGTTGTGTTATTATCACGACAATTGGCAAATCAAAGATCATGACGATTTGTGCTACTTTGGATCTAATGGGTGTGATCAGTATTGTAAATGTGAAAGTGGATATACTTTTCAAAACAATTTATGTGTATCAAATTATTGTCATGATGACAACAAACTCGATATTGAAGAGTGCAAACGAAGTGAATATGGGTGTGTTCAAAACTGTTACTGTGACACTGCAAACGGGTTTTTCTTTAATAATACTAGTTTTAAGTGTCAATCCATAAATTGTGGGAATTATAAAATTGATCAAGTTCGTTGGGGTACAAATAGTCTCAAAGATGAAGAAGTTTGTTCTTCTGATACAAAAGTTGTATTACATTTAACAATAATAAACAAACTATTATTTGTCTTATTTCAATGTAATAATAAATAATAATAAACTCAATTGTAGTGTGATAGCGGTGTGAATTGTAATGATCAATGTTTTTGTATAGAAGGATATATCACCAACCCCGAAGAAACAACATCATGTAAACTCAAATCAATTGGTGGAGGAGCAATAGCTGGTATTGTTATTGGAGGAAGTGTTTTTGTTGTGATTTCGATAACTATTATAATAACAGTTATTCTACTTGTTCTTAATTACAAACAAATAGACATTGAATTGTTTAAAGAACAACAACCAACGTACCATTTCTATATCAACGGCTCTGTCAATTGTGAACCAAACAAAGAATCCAAATTTGAAGTTGATCCTGAACAACTCGACTTTGGAAACTCGACTAGTGCTACTGCTATTATGGACACTCGATACGAGAATATACATGTTAAAAATAGAAGTAGAAACAAATATATGATGGTCATATTTCACACACCAAATACTCCAAAATATGTTTTTCACTTTGATCCACAAGTTATTATAATGAGACCAAGAGCAATTAGTTGCGTCACATGTTATATGACATTATATTGTACAACTAAGTTGAAAGGAATGAAAATCCCATACACCGTTTGGTTCTCTAAAAGTCGTGGTATTCTTAATGAAATAGCTCTGTTGTTAAAAGACAAAAACTTTGAGACATGGAATAATTCAGACCAAAGAAACATGGATAAACTTTCTAAAAGCATCTTAATAAAATACCACCACAACTTAATTTTGGCAACAGATGCGGCGAGTTCGACACATATTGATATGGATGAACTTTCTATTTCTGAGAAGCCAATAGCAGAAGGAGCGATGGGACGAGTGTATATGGGGAGTTACCGAAGTGTTGCAGTTGCTGTGAAGCAGTTTCGATGGGAGAAATTGGATGAAGACGAAGTTGCTGAGTTGAAGAAGAATGTTGTTGCTGAGTGTGAGATGATGGCAAAGCTGAGGAATCCGTTCATAGCGAGTTACATTGGGTCAGTGACATACATCCCACAAGTGTCGATGGTCATCCAATTCTTCATTCTTGGCTCACTTGGGGAATATTTGCGACAAGAGAAGGAAGACTATGTCAAGATGCCATACAAATTGAAAGTGCGGATGTTGTTTGACACATCACGTGGAATGCAATTTCTTCATGAGAACAGAATCATGCACTTGGACTTGAAGCCCGACAATTTGTTGGTCAACTCACTTGACTGTAACAGCGCATGTACTATCAAAATCACAGACTTTGGAACATCGCGATTCAAAAAGAAATCAATTACTAACAGTGAAGACAAGGGACTTGGCACACCTATCTATGCAGCACCAGAGACTTTCAAAGACGAATACACGTTTGCTGGTGATGTCTACTCATTTGCTGTCACAGCATGGGAACTCTATTACCAAGTCGAACCATATGCACAACTTAAATCGATATTCGACATCAAAAGACACGTCGAAGAAGGAAAAAGACTCTCTTTTGATCAAAACATCCCGACTCTATACAAAAATATGATTATGGAATGCTGGAGAGCTGATCCTAAAGATCGCCCTTCCTTCGATCAAGTATGTAACAGTATCGTGAAAATAGACGAAGACGTTAACAACAATTTAGAAGAAGGAAATCAGAACGACCGAATTGTTGAAATTGTTAACAAACGAACAGACAGAATACAAAAGCAGATTAA